GGACGTTAACCACTTGAATGTAGCAAGAAATTTATCGCGCAGTATTGTCACTTCGACCCCCACCTCGCTTCCGTAGAAGAAATCGTTATGTTACAAGTTGTGTCATGCAAAATTCTTTTGGTCATGATTCAAATACATATTTAGCTAAGAGCAAAGTAGCTTTGATTTTCTAACTTGATGAAAACAAACCATAATCTCATTAATTCTCTAACAGACTTTAGCCCGTGACGTCACGCGTTTTAAGAATGGCGGCGCCCTGTCGAGAACATCCGCCAGTCTGAGTATAAATGCTATTTAGGTTTGTTTTCACCGAGTTACAAAATCAAAACTACTTTCTACTGGTAGTAAAATATGTATTTGATTGATGGACAGAGCTTATAACATTCTCGTCACTATATGGCTGAAATATTGCCGAGGTTAAATTGTAACTCACTCACTCAGAGCTTAGAACATAACAATTTCACTCGTGGAAGCGAGGTGGGTGTCAATATAAAACTACTTACAATTAATTGTCACTTCGACCACAACCTCGCTTCGGAGGAAGAAATCGTTATGTTACAAGTTGTGTCATGGAAAATCTTTTGGTCATCAATCATATACATATGTTACTACAACTAGTAAGTAGTTTTGATTCTGTAACTGCTGAACACAAGTAAGATATCGTTCCAGGCTTCCACAACGCTCGCTTTGCTCACAACGCTCGCTTTGCTCTGACAAACATAACCCATTTAGCACGAACTACGGGGTCAACTATCACCCGACCCCTAGGAGCAATTGACGGCAACGCAACGATTCCGCATGACTTCCTTGACGTCAAGAAATTAGCAAAATGACGAGCTTGTTACACGCTTTATATACAACTAACTGAAAATCCGTCCTCACCCAACGTCACTTCCGGTTCGCTGCAGTGCTCTGGCGACAGAGTTACGTAACCTCTCTCTGGTTTCGTTGGCGGGCGAGAGTGGAGCAGGCGACTTTTTGGCAACTTTTAATCGCTCGGTATTAATTAACCACAGGTTTTCTAAGAAACGAATTCGGTGTTCCGCTTAAGACTAACCACACGTCTTTCACATGTAAAGGTTAAAAGAGTAAAAAAAAAACAACAACAACAAAAGTGTATTTGTTCTTTAATCGTCAATCATCGCAAAGACACGAGGACCTGTGCTTTAACCGTGTGTAAATCTGACAGCCAGATGATACGTAGATTTCAAACGTTGTTCCTCCGGCCGCCGGATGAAACGTTCATTTGCTAAAGTAACTGTCAAGTAAATGTTGGAAATACTGTTCCTTCGTGTGGTGGTTATGTGCCCTGGCCAAATCTTGACGAGGTAATTTCTGCGAACTGTAAAACTATAGCCCCGACATCCTCTGAGGAAACGATAGGGGACGATATGTTAAACAAGATCCGAATATGTTGACTGTTTAAATAACAAGGGCAAGTATCGATATCTGAAAGTTGTTCCCTCGTTTCTTGCAGGTTTCATCAACCAGCTACATGATGGGCATATTTCCTATAATGGGTTGTGCATTATGTGCATTATATGCACTGGCACGTTTTGCCGTCGGCGTTTCCTTTCCTTTCCAGTTCACCTCGCTCTGGTGCAGCATCGATTTCGTTATTCATACGCCTGGATTAACATATTTTTTGAATTTGTGATGAACGTTGTGTAATCTATAAAAAATGCATGTTTGCGCTGGTGAACCTGTCTACCTACAATATTATCCCGGTGACAGACACATTTCTTCTAGAGTTACGTTATGAAACCCTTCGAACAATATCACGCATCTGAATAGGCGCAGCCTGACATCTGCATACTCTAACAATGAATATGTGTTTATACTGAACAAATATAGCACAGGACCACTGTTGCATAACACGATTTGCTGTTGCAATCCTCAGTTTCAAATGTCTTACTTGATCGACTAGGTGTAGCCATCATGATGATCAGATATGTGTTCTGCTTTGCTATTGGTCCGCTCTTCGATATACATGTATACCCAGTGTATTGCGATCCTTGGATTCAGTCATTGATCCCCGAGAACTTGAAACCTGTAGTCAAAGTGAGTGAGTGAGTATGGTTTTACGCCGCTTTTAGCAATATTCCAGCAACATCACGGCGGGGGACACCGGAAATGGGCTTCACACATTGTACCCCTGTGGGGAATCGAACCCGTGACAAGCGAACGCTTTAACCACTAGGCTAACCCACCGCCCCCTGTAGTCAAACACATTATGTGGTGGGCTGACGACTAGATGACTGATGCTTCAATAGGGACCATGGTGACCATGTTTTGTTTGTTGTTTATTTTTTATTGCCGCACGCAGCAATATTCGAGCTATATGTAAATAATCGAGTCTGGTCCAGACAATCCATTTGTCAACCGAGTCAGCGAGCCTAACCACCCGATCCCGCTAGTCGACTCTTACGACAAGCATGAGTTGCTGAAGACCAATTTTATTCTGAACCAGATCTTCACGGGTCAAAGATGGAGAATAGGACACTTGCCATGTTCAACATCTCAAAGTTTCAAGAGGTTTTAAACATAAATATTTTCATGTGAAGTGTGGAATTGAGATAAAGCTTAGATGCAACCCAAAAAAATAAACATCATTAAAATACAATTATCATTATTCATGACAAATAATATACATTGCTGATTATGAAAAAAATAAATAAACAAAATTATAAGCGTAGAATCGCATATCAAAAATGCAATATTTTGTACTTGGTTTACTTCCCTCGAAACGAAGCACCCGCGATACCGAACCCAGTCAGAGCGGGTGGGCGTGCACTTAAGTGTAACGAAGCATTGCACTGGCTGGTTCATTTGCTGATACACTCAGGGCTGTAATCGTGCGCACGAGCCATAAATCAATGCGTTTGTTTATGGTGTATAGCCTGATAGGTGTTAAGTTCAAATTGCATGTGGTCAGTGATCGAAGTTGTGTATTGCATATTGTCATGAGCAGACAGGCAGGCAGATACATAGCAGGCCCTCCTATCTATTTGACTAAAAAAAGAAGCATTATTGGATGTAAAGTAAACTATAATGTGTGTTTAGCTACCACATGCGAAGGAATAGCATTAAATGTGTTGTGAATGCAGCAACTATCGCTGTAAAAGCGGTTGGCATCGGAAGCACTATACAGCCGCTATTGGAACCTAAAGCATCGGCAGCCGAAAACTTTCGGTCATCTCCGATAATTTCCGCGTTTCGCCGAACAACGCCAACACTTCCTGTCGTCACAGCGAGCGAAAAATGGCTGCCGACAGAGGAGAAGAGAAAAGGGTAAGTGTTTCAATCAACGCTTAGCTCCACATACTGTAATTCTGATTTATAAGGTAGTGTGCATTGAACGCATGTTATCATCCCCCTTTGATAACAATACTTCATCTTCGTAAAAAAATGTATTTTGTGTCCATTATCTGCGTTTTTGTATGGAAGTCGAACGGATTTCAAGATGAGGTCGGCGGAATGAGGCTACCAACCTCCTTCGCTTTGAGTGAATCCTTACATGGCTTTAGAAAATTTATCGTGAAGGGATTCAGTGAGGAGCAAAGTGAGACTCAGTGTGAATATGGTATTCGGGGTTATTACGGACGATGACGACTTGAGCAATATTTTCATAGACCGGCTACGTCCGAGAGACCGCAGTTGTATTTTGCCCCATACTTGTAACGTATTCATTTTAAAACTGGAAGTGAGTGCGAACAGTATGCATTTTATTCGTGTCTAGTTGTGATTGAACCTATATTACTTTGTGTAACAGATACACTTACCAGACCATCATGTTTGTTTTGGGAAATACACAGTCGCCGAGTGTGCTGGGATCTGGTGGACGGATGGGCGAGATGTCTGACAGTTGTGACCTCCCTACTGTTGCCGAAACTCCGTCGACAGAGATTATACATGGAGTCTGACCAATACCAAAGTCTTCCAATGTGCCAGAGTAACCAGCTGTGATTCTCACACAAAGAGGTAGATTATTGCCCTTCAGTTTCAGTTCTCTTTGGGTTTTTTCGGTTAAATTAGATTGTAAAGATATGTGACAAACATGACACACACACCCCTTCTCATTCCATGTTTAAAATATAACTCATAATAATTAGTTTTGAATAATATTTTCTGAATTTATTTCATAATGTTATTCTCTTGGTTTGACACTTACAGGTCACAGTCTGCGGAAGTGTTCAAGACTTGAGCAACAAGATGACACAAGTTTCCTGGATGTGTCTCACTTAGATGAGACACCGATCAAGCTTCCAGGATAGATGAGACATTGTTTGTTGCAGCAGAGACTGAGCACAAACCATCTTTACAGTGGGGACCTGAGGGAAGATTGTCAAGACCTAAGGCTCCTTGAACCTACAAGTGAGGCGCCACACTAAAGATGTCAAATTCTCATGTGAATTGTGTGGGACGTTTTTCCTTATCAACCAAACGCTGAAGGAACATGTTGCTAAAGTACACAAACAGACTGGTTTGTCAAGTGCAAGGTTTGCAGTATAGTTACAACATTTCGGGGTATGGAAGAATACAAGTCTGCTCCATGATGAGCATGCACCCAAATACAGGTTGTGGTAAACTCATAACATAATCTGTCATGACATTTTTTCATTGGTAGAATGAATGACCATGGCCAGTTGTCAGATCCCAAATACATAATTTGGAAACCCGACTTATAATTGCCACGATAACCATACCACATTTGCTTATTTGAAGTTCATTTGTTTAGATTTAGTAATAAAATTTCCTCAAATCTTTTTTTCTGTTGTTAGAGGTTGTAAATTCTTGTTGATGTTGGAAAATACTTGTGCATGCTTGTAATGTTTGTTCATGTGACTTTGTGTTTTGAAAGTAGTAGGAAGGATGCTCGGCTAACCAGGTTAGCTATATGATAATGGCAAAGATAACTAACAAATAACTGCAATGATATGTTTGATGTTGTTTTTATCAACCATGTTAACTTGTAATAAAGATATATTTACAGCCATATATGAAGTTCAAGTGTTTTATTCATTGACAAATCTGAATATGACTTTCTTTGTCCAATGATAATCAGTAGATAAAAATGTCTTATTTTCTGTTTACTTAAGACAACATCACATCATTTCCAACTTTACAATTCCCATATTTACACATTATGAAAGTGCATATGTAAAAACATAACAGATTCAACACTTGGACATCTGTTCATCACAGTGGGCAACAGAAAGACCAGCTCTTATTAGTCGCTTCATCTTGCTTTCCTTGACTTTGTGGTAGCTCCAAGACCAGGTTCATGCACACTTGACATAACCTTCACCGGTTTCCTCGCACGATGAGCCTACTGAGGGCATCAAACAAGTGGTCCTGTAATAGGATTGAAGAACACTTTTAGTGGAATGCAATGTGTGTGTCAGAGTGTGTGAGTGAGTGAGTGAGGGGCTTAACTTTGACGGAAGAGGACCAACATTATTATACTTGAAAATATCACACCAAGAAGATAGCAATCAAATAGTTAAACCTGTGGAATCACACTGTAAACCATGGCACACTGATCAGTTAGTCATCTAAACAATAAGCTACCACACTGCTAGATTCTACATATTTAATAATGCTATTAATAGTAAAAAGTAATGGTAAACAAAACTGTCAGCCAGTGTTTGTTAGAAAACGCCATTAGTTAAACATATATAACTTTTAAATGTCAAACAACACCAGCCTTCCTAGTACGGTGTGGGACTTACCTGGTTGGATCTTGTCTTACAATGCTCTCCCCACAAATTTTGGACGTGTTGACATGTAAACCCACTGGAGGGAAGTGGACAAGTCAGCCAGTGACAGAAGGAATTTCTTGAACCTGTAACAATAAGAAATATAGCAATTTCATGAAGTTAAGAGAGTTAACGTTTAATCAGCCGTAGCTTTCATTATGGATGTGTTCATATTACAATGATCTGTAGTCCACAGAGGAAATTCTAAATCAACTCACCTATATACCCATATGTATCATCCTGCATCTGTCAATAGCTGATATCCCTGGGTCATCACACGCCTGGAACCACTCACGAACCTGAAATGTGTTTAATATCTGTATACCAAGAGTCCAATTTCAACCAATTAACATGTTAATCAACATTGAGATACCAAATGCATGATCATCATATATTCTAATGCAAGTTACACCTGACTACATATGAAATAAGTTACATATTTGCGCAATTGATCATGCACACCTCTTAAGTAATTCAGAATTAAAATCAACAACATATCCTTTTATCAAGTTGTCAGCTGAAAACAGCCATAAACCAACATTCCCGATATTCACCGTAATTTCACTTGGCACAACTGTACTCGAGATCTAAACAAGAACACATTCACTACTACATATCTTAGACACAACATGCTAACACTGAAAAAATAAACTAGTACCAATGTGCGATTTGGAGAAATCATACCCGCCTCGATTAACTTTCAGCCTGCAACACTTCTTTCAGACACAACTGTGTAACCTAACTTGAGGCTGAACAGTGAACACACTGACGAGGCCGAACCCTACCCATTTATTTACGGTAACTGATTAAACAAAACACGTATTCCACATCAAATGACAAATCCAGCTGCATATACATGATGGTTGATCAATGATGTGGGTGTTATCACATAAAATCAAGACTTCAACCCGGAATATACAAAAGAAACTACTCACCTTGTCACTTGTTTCGTTTCGTCCGCCATTTTGTCGTACAATGTTTTTCCGGAAATGGTGTTGTCATTCAACTACGATCGGTTTTTCACGGATACAGTCGAAGTTATTCCGCTGCATTTTACCGAGTTTCGCATAGCGGCTGTACGCGTATTCCGCTAACAGCCGCTGTCAAATCCGATAGTACCTCTTTTTGTTCGTATATGAACTGCATTAGATAGCAATACAGACGCTATGCTACCAATACGCCATCATTATGATCTCATTTAACGCTTTTTCATCACATAGATAGGAGGGCCTGCATAGGTGTCAATAAAACAGACATTGAGTTTTGTCTGTGACAGAGGCATATCTATCTCACAGTTAGAAATTCTGACAATGCTAAATAATGACGTTGCGTTTAAGTATCGAACTGAGAAAGTGACTCGGTAAGAAGAACGTGTGGTGAAATAGTCAAATGAAATTATTTAAACAGTTAAATCGGTAATCTACTGTCATAACATATAAAAAGCTCGCGCCTGTGAAATATCAACAAAACATTAAGCAAATAGCTCACATCAAAGCCTACTCCGAGTACTCACCGCCAGCGAAGGTTTTCCGTCCTGAAATGTCGAACGTCTCACTGGTTGACACATAGCTGAGTAGACCTAGATCCTTAATAAGGTTCTTTTATGTAATGAGTAGATTATTTACTATTTGTTGTTTAGACTACTCCCTGAGACTACCCCTGCTCACGACCTTATAATTCGGGAACCCGCTTCAAGCTGCGCGAACCTATTCACTGCGCATGCGCTATGAGCGTAGCGCAGCACAGCTGTTGAAACCACTTTTCACCTCAGCTGGGGTAAATTTAGTGAATCGTTTGAACTCCGGTTTCTCGAGGTTTTTTACATCGCGTTATTTATCAACTTTATTAGTTGAATTTGCATTTTTGATAATTTGTTACTGTAAGTCCATACCGAAAGGTATCAGAATCTGCAAAGTTGTGTTTTGCGTTACATGTGACTTTTAACAGCGTCATTTCTCATCTGAAGACCAGTTCTTGATCGGATCTTCACGGATCTAGTGACCAAGAGGCAGAGATGAAATGTGTCCTGTGTATCATGACACATTACTCTAATGTAGTGTTACGATATCCCTCAATCTTTGAAAAGTATACCTCGGGTTATCCGATGTTCGACACATCCGTAAAATGATGAGATAAGTAATACGCAAAGACCAAACTTTTACTTCGAGAGAACCGTGAGTTCGACACATCCAAGTTTGACACAACGACGTGTGTAACCTCGAGTGTAAAGCATACATAAATACACGCGCGCAGGCACCCATGCATCCATCCACATACACTCACGCACCCACGCACATACATGTGGTCTAACCTTGGGCAAGTGAGTTTGTTCAAAATTGCCTCTGTTCACCCAGCAGAAAATGGGTACCCGGTGAAATGTGAAATAAGTCACGAGACATAATGACACCGAGAAGAATGGGGGAGTCTGACGACAGTGTACTTGGAATGCAAGCGAGACATTTCAAAGGCAGGTCCGCATGCTTCGCACTCTTTTCCTGAATCTTGCCAATCACGTTGCTGTCAAATGGGACAGAATATTCAATGATATAAATAAATTCATTGGCTTTATCAAAAAGGGCAGGTTTGTTGGCTGGAATTCTTCAGAGGCTGTATATAGGCCTATTCCAAATAAGTCTAAAAGCATCATTTTCCCTGACGCCCTGGACATGTTCAGGGTCGTACCATGGATGGACATCAGAGTCAAAGCCACAGGTAGGCTAAGATGATAGTAAAAGCAACGAGCCATTGCCATCATGTCGTTTAAGATATGCTGTTTGTGCCAAGGAAGGGCATCCTCTGACAAGGTGTCGGACAGTCTCTGTAAATTCATTGCACAATCGACATTTCATGTTAATAATTTCTTTAAGAATCACTTTTTGGGGATTCCGAGTGGGAGGTGACTGGTCCTGAGCAGGAAAACGGAAGCCCTCATTTTCACATTTTAAAACCGGCGACTTCATCCAAGCGAAGGAGTCAGTTGGATTGCTATTCTGTTCCACATAAGGCATATACACACGATGCAATGGATTCTCAGAAAGCTTCTCCACAAAGTGACCGACTCTGGGCAGGCTTGGTGAAGGACTTCACCTGGTTTACTCCCATCACTGTACCCTCCAGCAGTACATTGCCATCAACAAAATCCACCTCAAATTTTAGATTCTGTCCAACAACCTTGGCACGCTTAAACTAGCTGTGGAATTCCTTTCTTTCATCATGAGTCTTCACATGCATCACCAGAGGATCATCCGATAAATAAATGTGTGCAATAGTACGCAATAAAATTCTATCTTGAAGAGCCTCCACACTAATCAGACCCTGGCCTCCAGAACTGATTGGCATATATAAACGATTAAGAGGGGACCGAGGGTGGTGGGCTCTGTTATCAGACTTCAGAATCCACTCGTGAGGGACAGAGTCGTATGCTTTTTTGTACTCAATCCAGCACACGGAGAGGTTGCAGTGATATGTTTTAGCCTCTTCCAAAATCATTTTGTGTACAAGAAGGTGATTCTTACACCCCCAACATCCCTTTTTCGCCCCCTCTGCTCTAAATAAATTATGTCATTAGAAGACCAGTAAGAAGGTTTGTCAAACAACATGTGAAGATTTTAGGCCCTGGAGCTGTATTAGACTTGGACTTTTTGATGACACTTTTCAGGCAATCTGGTGAGATGTAACAGACAAACCACCCAGTTATTTTCTCATGCAGTGCATGATCGTAATCACTGACCCATGGTGTCTCCAGGTTACAGACCACAGCTGTTTCCATAACCTTTCATTGGCATCCATGCATATATACATTGAACCCTTTACTTCCTAAAATGGGGTATGTGATGTTTGTAAAACAAACAAATACAACACGAAACTATGAGCAATGTAAACACATAAACATAAGTCAAGATCCGAAAGCTGCAAATGATAGTCCAGATCTTCTCAAGTTGTAATAGAATCAGTCTTCTCCATCTACAATAAAACTGAGCATCTAATCAGTGTCTTACAAGTCTTTTTGACACAGAGTTTAAAGTACGCGTGTGTACAGATAGTATGCCCTGTTAAGGTATGCTATGGTCCATAGAGTTTTTTATGTAATGTAATCGCCATGGACGAAGGTACTCATACAGTCTGATACAATGTCCCCTGTATCGTCATACGGGATTTGGCTGGCCTTAATAGTTTTCAGCATTAGAGTTGATACTTTGAGCGTCATGGTTGGACAAGTTCATACAAGCATTCATTGTACATAGAATGCCTTAATTGAGTTTTATTGACTGTGTATATACCCTGCCAGTGCGTTTTTCGTCCCTATTCTATAAAGGTAAATGCATCTGTATGTTCAGGATTAACAATGATACCAGTCAAATATTTTCATCCAACTGCGAGCACGGACACTTCATAAAAATATATTGCATGGGGCTTTATATGCATTACACCGCCCCCTCCCCCTCCCCCCTTTCAGGGATCGTATGTTTACACCAGTATGACCCGCCCGTGTCGTCAACAACTTTAGATATCGGTAGTCTGGGTGTGGCTATCAATTTCCCTACATTGCGACAACGGGTCAGCCAGACTGAAAAGCTGTCCTCGGCAACCAGTCAATCATCCTATACTTGGGGCACCATAAATAGTCCCATAACTATTGTACAAAGAGGCGAAGAGTTTCCACAGTACACAGTAGTGCATACATACAGAAATCCGCAAAATAATGACAACAGGAATTTTCTTTTTCATGCTTCAACGTTATCTTCAAGGCGTAACTGGCACCCGTGAAGAGCCACCTCCTCGTGGTTGGTGCTGGGTAATGCTAAGCGCTCTCCAAGCCCCCGTGTGGACCCGGGGGTATATTTGGTCCACCAACCTGTTAGCCGTGGGTTGCGTCCCTGTGTCGGTCGAGGACGGGAGTCTGGTGGTTGAGGGCACTGGGAGCCTGGAACCGTGTTCCTTTAGCCCAACACACCACTTCGCTTCGCCCCTTACTTCACCTAGACGGGTGGTAGAACTGGCCCGGTTCTATCAATCGGCTGGTCACGTCATGCCCTGTGCATGGAGACATTCCAATTTATATCAATGTACATTTATATAATGTTGATATTGGATGTTGTATTTCACAATTCTGTTATTATATCTATTTGCCTAGAGTCCTATGCCAGAAGGCGGTGGCTCATGGGCCAATCTGGTGATACTGACCTCCAAATGATGTATATCTCCAACTTCTTGTCACGGGCCGAACCAGTCTGACATTGGGTTGGTAGATAAATGCAGCCATTTGTGTTGTTTTCTCTGGAGTATAACACCCCTGTATCCCTGGTGTCAGCATCTTGGATATCCGGTGCATATTGACACTGTCCTTGTTGACACTCCATGGTGGGTGGGGAGCAGGGGTGCTGAATCATATTCTTTCCTTTATGACCACACAACTATCTGGTTCATCAAGAAATGAAAAAAAGAGACGAATCGACAATGTTGATGAATCTTTGAGAACTGTTCCCTCAAATGCTGATTCCTGGGCTCGTTTCCTGGTGATAGAGGCTCCTGATTTCCTACCGATCAAACTAAATCAACAAAAGTGATTATCATTCCTTCTTCCCTCCAGGCGATAAAGCTACTGGAGGCGCCTCTATTGTGGTACACCAGAGTGTCATTCACAGTCCTGTCACTTTAAATACGGATCTTCAAACTGTTGCTGTGCGTCTGACTCTGCACATTGCTCTGACATTGTGCAGCTTGTATATACCTCCCTCTTCAAATATTCAACAATCAGATCTTCAAAATCTGTATGATCAGCTTCCGAAGCCATGTCTCATCATGGGAGATTTGAAAGGACACAATTCGTTTTGGGGAAGTGACCATACTAATAACAAAGGTAAAATCCTTGAGGAATTCATTTCTGATAATAATTTATGTATTTTAAATGACGATTCAGCCACCTATTTACATCCAGACGGGAACATATTCTTCCCTGGATCTATCACTTGCCGATTCCAACTTATATAATGAATTTGAATGGATGGTTCATGATGACCTATGTGGGAGTGATCACTTCCTCACCATTCTCAAAACAATTAGCCCTGGTGATGATCTACCTTCATCAAGAAGGAACTTCGCCAGGGCTGATTGGTCATTATATGAGGCTTTGTGTGTTGAACACGTAAAACATGACGTATTTGCGAACAGCGAAGATCCTTTACAATTATTTTCTGATGTCCTCATTGACATTGTTGATCAAACTATACCCAAG